ATAAAAAGGTTATAAAATTAGTTCTTAAGTATGTTAATACATGCTATTTTTTACTATTACTAGTATAAAAAATAATAAATACCTTAATTATAAAGCAAGATTAGTTTATATAAAAGGTTTACTATTATTTACTAGGCCTACTACTTTAAATATTAAGCTGTAATATAGTTATTATTCCATGTTTTATAAATTAAAAATAAAATAACCTATTTTTACTACCAAATGCGGACTATAATAATACTAGTAATAAAAAAGGTAATATTAAACAAGGTTTAAATATAATAATAAAGTATATATAATAATTACTAAAGCTTGTTAATTTAATATTATTATATTATATACACTGCTATACCCTATAGCCTAAAGTATATAAAAAGGTTAAAAGTAAAATAAAAAATTATATTATTTATTACTACCTAATATATAGCCAAGTTACGGACCTAAAAAACTTTACCTATATTAAGTTAATACTTTACTATTTATTTATTAAAATAAATAACCTGCGTACGGTTAATAAATTAGTATTTAATAACTTTTATAACATGTATAAGTACTACCATAAATACTATAGCTATAAAAAAAATAACTACATGTAGGATAATAAAAATATAAAGAATAAAATTAATTTATTAACTTAAAATAATAATACTAGCCTAATTACTAAGGTACTTTTTTAAAAGGTTATAGCAGCTTAGTAGCCCGGCTATAATAATAATTTTTTTATAAAACCTAATGGCCTGGGCCAGCGCGATATTAATTAATAATATAACTAAACTTAATATATAAAAAAACCTAGTTTTAGTTTAAAATTTTAAGATTTAGTAAAGGTAAATTACCCAGTAAATATATTAGCTTATTTATTAGCTTATTTAAATAGCCTGGAGGTTAAGCAACGCTAGCTATATAATATTATAATTAAATATTATAAAAATATCTTATAGTCGCGTGGTTTACTAGTCCTATATTTAGGTAATAAGTAATAATTTATTTTTATATATTTATTACCCTTACTAGGGTAATTATTAATTAATTTAAATAGCAAGGCTAGCACTAGTAAATCTTATATTATTAGCTTATTATTTATAACCTTAAAATATATAGCTTTTTATACTAGTAATTATAAAACCTTTATTATTATACAGGCTGCTTTAACTAGTGTTACCGCGTATAATATTAATAGCTAAATCTTATACTTACTATTTTAATTACTAGTTATATTAAAAAATAAGGGGGGTTATAATTACCTATAGCCTTTAATACTATTAGCCTTGCAGGCAAGTTTTTATAGCATGTTATATTTAATTATTAATAAAAAGTTTATAATAGGTTTAAAATAGCTATACTATATTAATTAATAATATTATAAAATTTTTTTAAACTGCAAAGCTAAATCCTTTAATAGCTTAAATATTATCCTAGCTAGGGACTTTTACCAGCTACCTTTAATTAACTAAAGCCCTTTTTTTAAGGCTATATCTTTACTTATAAATAAAAAAAAAAGGCTGGTTAGCGTTTATATAATTAATTTAACCTTATTATTAAGCTAAATATTATTTATTACTAGACCGCAAGCTTTTAAATAACTTATATGTTTATTTTTATATTAAAGTGCTTAAAAAAAATATTATTATAATAAAAAACTAAAAGCTTTTTATAACATAAGTATAGGTTAAGTTACCTGCGGGTAAAAGTAATACCTTTATAAATATAATTTATATATATAAAAAAAAAATAATATATACTAGTATAATTATAACCATGTATTAAATTTTAATAAGCCTATAATTATTTTATAAGCTAATTATATTAAATCTAGTGCTATAACTATAAAAATAAACCAGGCTAAAAACCTAGTTAAAAAGCTTATAATCTTTTTTAACTACTATATTATACTAATATAAAATATTTAAATAAAAAGGGGTCTTATAAACAGTGCTATAAGTATATTAATAAATATTATATAATTACTAAAAACTGCAAATCCCACTTAAAAGGCACTACTTACTTTAATAATAACTTTTAACTAGTATAATAATCCGCATGCTAAAAAAAATAATAGCTATAATATAATATTAATTTTTCATGTAAAGTAAAACTTTTACCACCACAGTATTATTTACACCTATATATAGTTCCTGGCTATACTAGCATATATAATAATAATTTATAAGGCTTAGGGGGTTATTATTAAGCAGGCTATTTTAAACCTTACTATATATAAAAAGTTTTTACTAGGTCTTATATACATGGCCATATTATATATATAGTTACTTAAAAAATTATTATTTAAAAAACCTTTTAATTATAACCAGTTAGTTAGTAGCCTGTTTAACACTAAAAAATAAAGGTATAAAAATAATTATTTAAGGCACTGCTAATATATATTTATTATAATTATAAATAATATCTCTTGCTATAAAAGTAATAATAATATAAGTATAAATTTAAAAATAAAATAATAATTTAAACTTACTTTATTAACTAGGGTCTAGCCCTATAAACACTAATTATTTTTTAATAACTTTTTATTAAAATTATTTAATAAACCAAGAAACTTATCCCTACCTTTTTTTTTTTTTACTAGTAAACCCGCTTTTTTTACAAACTTAATTATAATATTAAGGCATGTTTTAGTAAATACCTTTTGGGCGGCGGCGGACATGTTTTTTTAAATAATTATTATATTAAATAAGTTATAAAGCTACTTAGCGCGGCCACGGGTTTATAATTAGGCTAAGGTTAATATTTAAGTAAATACTTAACTATTTATTAGGTAGTATTATAACTACTTTATAACATGGCTATTATTATTTTTTTTTTTTTATTTTTATATATTTTTTTTTTTACGGCATGGGCGGCGGTAATAACATTTTTAATATTAATTTTTAAATTATTATAATTAGTTACTAGCTTTACAAACTATTAATTAGGGTACTTATTATAATAATTATAATATTTACCCTTTAAAGTATAATAATAGTTAGCGCAGGCACTAAATAGCAACCTATTAATAATAATATAATTTATAAATAATTTATTTTTTTTTATATACTAAACACAGGGCGTAAAGGGGCGCTTTTTAATAATTTATACTATAATTACCTTTATATTACTAGGTAATATAAAGGTGGCCTTTAGGCGCTTAACCTATAATTTTAGCTTTTATACTAATGGTATCTTAGCTAGTGCTTACTAGTAGTAATTACTTATAATTTTAATATAGTTTATAATATACTACACAGCCAGCATGCTAGGCAATAGTTTTATAATAAAATATAAAAATATAGTAAATAATATAGTTATAAATTATTTTTTATAATAATATACTAAAAAAATAATATAATTAAGTTTAATTTTAAAAGGTAGCCATGTTAGTATATAGCTTAATATTATAAAGTTAAGTTTTAAGTATTATAAAAATAAATAAGGTAATAGCTATTTATTATTTATTAAAAGTAAAATATAGCTTAAATAATAATAAAATAAAATTATAATATTTAATTAATAGGCTATAAACTATAATAACACGCTTTAAGTAAGGCTTTTAAAATTATTAAGTAGTTAATTTTATTAGTTTAAAGTTAAACAAGAGGTATTAATAAACTAAAATAATATTAATATTTTACTAAATATTTATTTTTAAATACCAAATCTCCGCCTACGGTTTATATAAACTATTTTTAATAATATTTATAGTTAATTATACTTAATAAGTTATAGTAAATTTAAATTTTTTTATTACTAGGGTCCAGCCCCAGGAAAAATAAATTAAAAAAAACTACTTATTTATTATTATTATTATATTTAACATTCTTAAAACTAGCTTTATTAATAAGGTTATTTATTATAAGGGCTATAACACGGGCCATAGCAGCTAGCCTGGCTATAGTAATATTAAAGTTTATTATTACTATAATTATAAGATAGTATAAATAATAAGTAAACTAAATAATATACATGGGCAAGGTAGTGGTATTTACTTTTTTTTTTTTTTT